GTGACTTTTTTTTTTTTTTAATAGAGATGAGGTCTTACTATGTTTCCCAGGCTGGTCTCAAACTCCTGGGCTCAAGCGATCCCCCTGCCTCGGCTTCCCAAAGTGCTGGGATTACAGGCATGAGCCACTGTGCCTGGTCTCTCCCTCGTTTTCTTACCACTCCCCTGCTGTCAGTTCTAGCATGTTTCTACCTTTCCTTCTGGTCATATGGAGGACTCCATGATTATTTCAGCTCTGCCCTTGAAGTCCTCCCAGTCCCTCTGAACCTGAGTGGGAGGGTGGTATGTGTGTTTTTGAAATCAAACAGTGTGTATGAAGTACAAGTACTTCTTGGGCTTTGCACATCCACGCTCAGCCTGCCGTTTTGAGAGAGTGCTTTTGTCGTCAAATAATTTCAAGTGGGTTTCCCCCCTTCTGTGTTTAGGCCACTAGCCAGACAGATCTGGAAAACTGGGTCACAGCCATACATTCTGCTTGTGCATCCCTTTTTGCAAAGAAGCATGGGAAAGAGGACACGGTACGGCTCCTGAAGACTCAGACCAGAAACCTGCTGCAGAAGATCGACATGGACAGCAAGATGAGAAAGATGGCAGAGCTACAGCTGTCCGTGGTGAGCGACCCCAAGAACAGGAAAGCCATAGAGAACCAGGTACTGTCTCCTTCACACCCACGTTTCTTTCTGGGGCTCGTGTTGTCTGCGTGGCGACTGGGCACAGACTCACGCTGTGGTCGTGGTTCTTACACGCTGGGGGCTGTGGCTTATTTCAGGGACTTAATGAGTACCCTCTTGTGACATGGGCGACAGATGATACTATCTACGACTTTTGGTGGCTGTATGTACATATTGAAATATTTTCTGGCCAAGCCTTTTCCCCTAATTTTGAGTGGTGCCTTCTTGTCCTGCTGATGCACTCACATATTGTCATTTTCTGAACAAAATTCATGCAATGAAACCACTAGAAGTATAGACAGGTGCGATTCTAAAACAGAGGACGGCTTAGGGAACAGTGGTTCTGCATAGCACAGCTGTTTCTACGGCTGTGGACTGCAAAAACCCATTAATCTTTTCTGCTTATATTAGAGAAGCTGCTAATAAAAAATACTTCATTTTCTCTGGTCTAATTCCAATTCATATAATAATTAAATAGCTAGTTCTTATGCTGTTTGCATTTTGGAGAAAGGGAAGCAGTTTTTCAATGTTTATTTCCCTTTGCTCAGACAACCTCGACACTTAGACAAGTGTTAGGGGGATTTCAAGCATCTTAGTCTTAGGCCAGGATCCCTAGGAAGCAGACTACAATGGCAACTTGCATGTGTGGGGTTTTATTAGGAATGCTTGCAGGAATGACACTGGTACAGCATGAGGGAGTGGGATTAGGGGTTAGGGCAAGTTGAATTTAGAGTCAGCCAGTCCCATGGGAGTGGTCGTTCTGAGTTATTATTATTTTTTGAGTTGGGATCTCCCTTTCGCCCAGACTGGAGTGCAGTGGCACATTCATGGCAGCCATAGTCTCAGTCTCCTGGGCTCAGACGATGCTTCCATCTCAGCCTACTGAGTAGGTATGTGCCACCACACCCAGCTAATTTCATGCTTTTTGTAGAGATGAGGTGTTAGTATTGCTGGCTAGGCTGGTCTTGAATTCCTGGGCTCAAGCAATCCTCTCTCTTCGGCCTCCCAAAGTGCTGGGATTACTGGGCTATTTGGAGTTCTGCATTGAGGCATGTGGGCCAAGCTTCGTACTTCCATATCAATCTGTCAAGACATCTTCCTTTGATAAAGGTCGCTTCCCAGAGGGCATCTGTCTGTGAGTTGTGGGCAGCTGATGTTGCTGGAGGCCAAGGGAAAGTGCCTCTATCTTAAAGGGGGGATCTGAGTGATGTACTTCAGATCAAATGATAGCGAAACCTTGTCTCTGCCAAAAAATTAGCTGGGCGTGATTGCACACACCTGTAGTACCGGCTACTTAGAGGGCTGAGGCAGAAGGATCGCCTGAGCCCAGGAGGTTGAGGCTGTGGTGAGTCGTGATTGTGTTATTGCAGTTCAACTTGGGCAACAGAGTGAGACCCCCAACTCAAAATAAATAAATAAAATAAAATAAATACTTGATGAGGGGCAAGAGGTAGGAATTGTTTGGTTATTTTACTATTGCCAATTGATATTTTCCAATTTCTTTTTTTTTATAATTAGAATCTCACTTTGTCACCCAGGCTGGAGTGTAGTGGCACGCTGTTCACAGCCACTGTAGCCTCCACCTGCTGGGCTCAGGCAATCCTTCCATCTCATCCTTCCAAGTGGCTGGAACTACAGGCATGCACCAACAGCTCCCGGCTGATTTTTTGATTTTTTATAAAGATGAGGTCTCACCATGTTGCACAGGCTGGTTCCAAATTCTTAATGGATCACTGAATGCACGCCTTTGATCAGTTTCCTATTTCCAGTCACACATTTCTTTTTGCACATGCTAAGTTCTTTATATATGTGTAGATGAAAAAAAGTCCAAAGTTAAACACTCCATACATAAATACCAGGGTGCCAAAAAATGTACAGACATTTTAAGAGATGTTATCTGTTAGTTTTCGAAGTACTTTTCCGAAGTGTCTGGTTGCTGATGGCAACCACTTTGAGTACTTCTTGTAATTTCAGAAGTCAAATGTGACTTGTATTTATCTTTTACCTGTATACATTTTTCCTTTCTTAAAATGTGTATACATTTTTTGGCACCTTCTGTAGAAATATGATTAAATTTGCAATTTAAATAAAACACTGTAGGTAAAAGTTCTTTCTAATTAGTCACAGTATGTCCAAATTGTTGTGTATGTGAGATATATATATATATATATATATATATATATATATATATATATATA